ATTATATACATCATGGTCCTTTATCTAAATACTTTCATGTGGGCAGTCCAAGAATAGGGATATTCTTTTATATAACTAGAACAGTAAATTTATCTTTGGTATAACCCTTTTATCTAATTTTCTGTTCATACCCCGATTTTGTCAATAATGTCCTTTGTTTCATTCTCCCCTTCCTGTGCAGGATTTAGTCTAGGCTCAGGTATGGCATTTCGTTGTCATGTCTCTTTTGCCTCCCTCTCTCTTTTTAAGAAATGTATTTTATTTAATCATACCAGCGCATATTGATTCCACTGATTTTTTAGAGAGAGTGGAAGGCATCCACTCCCCAACACTTTTCCATTTCGTTGGAAAATTGTAGTAAAATACTTTTATTGGAACAAGGCCCTTCACTAAAATCTACCTGAGAATATTTATAATAAACATAGCATTTGCCATGCTCCAATGTGAAAGGCACTCTTCCATAGGGTTGTCCTTCAAGCTGTGTATAGAGCTGTATCTGGGGAGCCACAGAAGGGTGTCTGCCCAGGAGGGACACCATCCTGTGTGGGCCTGTGCAGACAGGACCGAGGAGAGGAGGAGGAGTGTTTTGGAGGTTGAAACTACAATATTTTGGAGGCAAAGGAATTGGGTGAGGAGATGGCAAAGAGGATGAGATGGCAATGACTCAGGTTAGTGGATGGCAGTGCCATTCGCTGAGATGGGCATGACTGGGAGAAGACTAGGGTCTATGGGTGGAGAAGACAAAGAAATCAGGAGCAAGTAAAGCCCATTTTCTCTTGAATGTTCTGTTTACAACTAAAAGTTAACTAAACTCATGTCTTTTCCAAAATCAGTAGTACCCTTGATAAACTTACCCATTAGAATCAGGGATATAACAAGATCTGAGCCTTTCAGACGTTTAGAATTGCATTATACTCAAATTGTACTAACATTTGCAAGTTCCTCTATTTTTGTAAGCACTCTGCCAGACTTACACACCTTTTCTCATTTCCTTCCCTCAGCCATCCATGAGGTATTTCCTTTTTTTTAATCTTCATTTTACAGGGGAGGTGTGAGACCTAGAGATTTGAACATGGCCCCACAGTAGCTCCTGCCTGAGACTTTGTTGCACCCCACCCCCCACCCCCCGCTTTGTCAATGCCATACAATAGAACTTTCAGCAATGGTGGAAATACGTTACACCTGCGCTGTCCACCAATCCTGTGGCTCTTAAGTATTTGAAATGTGGTCAGTGTGACTGAGGAACTGAATTTTTAATTTAGAAAACGACAGTGGCTACTGTATTTGCAGCACAGCTTTAAGTCAAAGGTCTCCATAGGGGTCCATGCAACCCAGGGAGGGAACAGAATATGCAGAGAAAACACACACACACGTTTTGAATCATTACTCATTTTTTTCCTGTAATATACCTAAATATTAGGTATATAATTATTGTATATAATTAATATATATTTTATATGATAATCTTTATATAACACTTAGATAGCACTCACCACTTTGCTTTACAAATATTAACTCATTTAATCTTTATAATGACATTGTTGGGTAGATGCTTTTATTATCCTCATTTAACAAATGAAGAAACTAAGGCACTATTTGGATGTGGCCAAGGACACAGGTAGTTGGTAGCAAGTTGAATACATTTTAACTTCAAAGTCCATGCTCTTTAGGGTAAACTAGGTAATACATTGGGAGGGGGGTGGGGTGGGGGAGAAAGCAAATATTTTTACCGATGGGTGAGTGACCAAGAATGTTTGGTGACTAATGCTCTATACTAGACCTTAATAACCAACGGGGTCCTAAGATATGGTGACTGGAAAAGATTTGACTTTGGGTGGTGGACACATGGTGCAATATACAGATCTTGTAACATAGAAACCCACACCTCAAACCTATATGTTCATGTTGACCAATGTCACCACAATACATTTAAAAAACAACAACAACCAATGAGACACTGCAATTCCGAATCTCAAATTTTAAAGGTATTTTGGGGATAATAAAATCCGTCTCTTTTCCACTGATAGATGTTGCTCTGTATGTAGAGGGGTGTGAGGATGAATGAAGGTGGGGCAGGGTGTGGCTGAGTGGAGAGTCATCCATACTCCTCTACAGAGACAACTAGGACAAACGCATGTAAAGATTTGTGTGGTGGTGATCCTATAAGCTTCCCCATTTAAAAAAAGTTTGCCCTTGCCAGTGTTTTTCTAGTTAAAAGTACTTGTTTCTGCGACATTGGAGTAGGGGAGGGTGGGAGGTGGAAGACCTGGAGAGGGTAGAATCCAGGACTCACATTCCCTCCCTGGGTGCTCAGCCTCATGAGCCTTTGTTGCTGGCGGCTCTCTCTCTTCTTCTGGCGCCCCTATAATTCGGATGTTGGTACGCTTGAAGTTGTCCCAGAGGCTCCTTACACTATCTTTGTATTTTTGGATTCTTTTTTCATTCTGCTTTTCCGGTTGGGTGTTTTTTGCTTCTTCGTATTTCAAATCTTTGACTTGATTCTTGCGATCCTCTAGTCTGCTGTTGGGAGTTTGTATAATATTCTTTTTTTTTTTTTTAACAATCTTTTTTTTTTTATACATTTTATTGATTTTTTTTTTTTTTTTTTTTACAGAGAGGAAGGGAGAGGGATAGAGAGCTAGAAACATCCATGGGAGAGAAATATCGATCAGCTGCCTCCTGCACATGTCCCACCGGGGATGTGCCCGCAACCCAGGTACATGCCCTTGACCGGAACCGAACCCGGGACCCCTCAGTCCGCAGGCCGACGCTCTATCCACTGAGCCAAACCGGTGCTGGCTGTATAATATTCTTTATTTCAGTCAGTGTATGCTTAATTTCTAGTTGGTCCTTTTTCACAATCTCGAGGGTCTCACTAGATTTCTTGAGGGTCTCATTAAGTTTATCGGCAGTTTCTAGAAAATTCTTGAAAAACCTTAAAAGTGTGGTTTTGAACTCTATATCCAGTCATTTGCTTTCCTCCATTTCTGTCATTTGTGTCCTTTTTCTTTGTCTCCACATTTTTTATGCTTCCCTGTGTTGATAGAGTGGCTTTCTGTGCTAGGTGTCCAATAGGGCCCAGTGGCTCAGCCTCCCCCATTACCTGAGGTGGACACTCTTGATGCACCCCCTTGTGGGCTTTGTGCACAGTCTTGTAGGTAAGCCTTGATTGCTGTAGGTATCACTGGGAGGAATTGACCTCCAGGTCAATTGGCTGTGAGAATCATCTGTGTCTGCAGTGGGAGAACTTCTGAGCTGGAGACACCCTTCTGGGGCAAGACTTGCTTCAGTGGGGCTTTGGTGCTCACTGAGTCTGCCCCCTGAGTGTGTCCTTTATGGATCCGAGAAGCTGCAATCTGGATGGTCCCACTCTGACCACCGGGTACACTGGCTCCTGGATCTCTAAGGAGGTGCTAATCTAGCCTCTGCCTGAGGCTACCCAGCAGGAGCCAGCTGTGAAGCAATGCAAGTTGCCGTGGGGCCTTCGGCCAGCTGCAGTTTGTTAGGTAATTTTCAGATTGCAAAGGGCCAGGCCTTTCATATGCAAAAGCCTCTGTGCACAGCTTGAGCGGGGTGGGGTCCCAGGGGATCAACAGGGTGGAGTGAGCAGTTATGGCTGCTCTCAGTCCTGCCCTCAGAGGCCCTGCTTCTCAGTGTCCCGGCAATCGCTGCAAGCACCTCTGAGAGAAAGCTGCCCTCGAGTTTCCACCGATGCCAGACAGTCCAGTTTCTCCCGTATGCGTCTGGGTCCCCAGAGACTCGCCCGGAACTGGAGCTCAGAGCTTGAGACTCCCTCCCGATTGAAAAAGACAACCGTGTCCTCAGCCGCCAGCCCGCTCCACGTGTGCCTCCATACCTTTGTACTTTACTTCCACATCGCACCTCCTCTGAGTCTCAGTATGCTTTTCTCTTTTCTTCTAGTTGTAGAATTTCCACTCAGCCAGCCTTCCTGTGGTTCTGGATGATTTCCATTCCGTCTTTTAGTTGTATTCTTGAAGTGGTTGTGCGAGGCAGCAATCTCCGGTGTTTACCTATGCCACCATCTTGGTTTCTCTGCTGGTGGCTCTAATCCAAATGCAATCAAATGAAGGTAAATGATCCCTGAAAGAGATCAATGGGGAAGATACATTTACCCAAATCTAATTCCCACCTACACACTTTGCCTGAAGTGAGTATGCCGTTCCCCCGCCCCCAATTCTTTGTCCATCCTAGAAATCTTTTTTTTTTTTTAAATATATTTTATTGATTCTCTACAGAGAAGAAGGGAGAGAGATAGAGAGTTAGAAACATCGATGAGAGAGAAACATCGATCAGCTGCCTCCTGCACATCTCCCACTGGGGATGTGCCCGCAACCCAGGCACATGCCCTTGACCGGAATCGAACCTGGAACCCCTCAGTCCGCAGGCCGACGCTCTATCCACTGAGCCAAACCGGTTTCGGCCCATCCTAGAAATTTTGTGCAGCTCTCCATGTACCCTGCAGTGCACTTAGCAAACAGTGGCTGTTGTATCCATGAAAAAGGGCTGGCTCAACCTTACAGACTGTCATTCCAGTTTCCAGGGACGTGAAGTAGTGCATGAGGTTTTGCGTCAGCAGAGAAAAGTTTTGGAAGGACGAGAGATCTAAGGAAGGGAATAAAGCCACGCACTTAAAAAAAGAAAAAAGGCGGAGGTGGGCTGTACAAGGCACCCGGGGCAAGCGTGGCAGCCATTCTCTCGGTTCCAAACCCTCAGAGTTTTAGGGGAAGCCAATGGAAGACGTGCCGAGAGGGATCGCCTGCTAAGTGGGAGCAGCAAACAAATGTCCCCCCAGCGCCTCTGGGTGTCTAGATCCAAAGCCTTTCTTTTCCGGCTGCAGACAGTTCTTGCGCTCCTGGGAGGCCCAGCCCTCCCTCCGTCCTTCCCAGCTACCTAAGAACTTCCCAGAAGAGGAACAATCCTTTCTCTCTCTCTCTCTCTCTCTCTCTCTCTCTCTCTCTCTCTCTCTCTCTCTCTCTCTTTCTCTCTCTCTCTTTAATTGTGGTTTCTCTCAAGCTTCCACACGTGCTCAGTGATCCAAAGAAAGAATGAAGGAAAGAAAGGGGGAGGGAGAGGAGGGGATGGGGAGGCAGAGAAGGAATATCTGGAAAAAAAGCAGCCTGACAGTCCAGCTGTTTGCAAACTCATTGCACAACCTCCAATTACATGGCAGAAGAGGGAGGGAGGGGAAAAGAAAAGGGGAGGAAGGAGGGAAAATAACTTAAATAAACACACAAAAAGAAACGAGAAGGAAATGTGACGTGAGCTGGTGATCCATGAAGGCGGGGAGGGGAACCGTTTACCTGTGCTGAACCAAGGGAGGAGGGAGCAGGAGGGGGAAGAGGGGGGGAAGGGGAAATAAAAAACTAGAAGAAACACTGGGGTGGCAGGAGGAGGGGACACGAGACAACTTAATACAACTGCAGACGAGGCGGCCCGGCCGGTGAGGTCCCGCGATGGCCTCCGGAGTCTTCCGTGCAGGTGGCAACGTGGATCTGCTGGTGGCCTGGTGCGGCGATGGCGTTTCTGGGGCGGGAGCCGAGGGCAAGACACAGTCTCTGCGGCTCCCCGCGCCCCGAGCACTGAGGCCCCGGAGGGCTGGGCAACAAGAGTCTGTGGTGAGGTAGGCGGATGGGCGGCGAGCGACGGGCGGCGGGCAGCGTGCTGGTGCCCCCGCCGCAGCGGGCACGGGCGGAGCGGCCTGTCTTCTTCTGCTGGCCCCCTGGCATGAGATGGGCCAGGGTGCCGAGTTGGTACTGGAGTACAAGCGAGAGAGAGAGAGAGAAAACACTGAGACAGCATTAGTAGAGGTGCAGTGTGGACAGACCAAGCCCCCAACCCTCGGCTGCCCCCCTCCTCCCCATCCCATTCCTCTGAGGCAAAAATAAAAACGTAGAAAAATCTCTGTACAGACTCCCCGGTAGGAAAACGGGGGCAGGAAAACGGCTCCAGGCTCTTCCTGGAGCTCACTCCCCACAATTAATTTACAACCCAAGTCCATGGCTCAAAAACAAAATCTGCAGAGGTGGCGAGGGGCCGCAGCCCTGCCCCCACCCCCGTGGCGCGGTGCTCAGAAGGTGGACAGCTGCGCCAGGCTGAGGCGGCAGTCGATGCTGGTGTTGTCCGGGCCCGTGTAGGCCAGGCCTAGGGGCTCTAGGAAGGCCCGGCAGGCGGCCTCGCCCTCGAAGGCCAGCTCGGCCTGCAGGTAGGAGACTGGCAGCGCAGGGCGGAAGGTTTTGATCATGGCCTTGAGGGCGGCTCTGCGCTCCCGGTCCACAAACTTGTCTATGAGGTAGCCAGACATACAGGGCGCGTGGCTGTAGAGCCGGAAGAAGCGGTGGTAGTTGCCCAGAGCCCAGGCTGCCCTCAGTGCCAAGGCGTGGGCCACACAAGGGTCCGTCTTCAGCTCCCGCGTCAGGTAGGCCAGCTCCGTGGTGATGTCGCCCGAGTTGTTGGTGAAGATGTAGTAGAGGATGCGGTAGGCGGTGAACTCACCCACGTTGCCGGGCAGGCTCTCCGCGTACAGTGACTTGAGCTGCGTCTGGCACTGGTTGAACTCCTCGTGGTCACCCTGTGGGCGGGCAGGCGGGGAGGAGCAGCGTGAGGCTGGGGAGGAGCCGGGGAGGAGCCGGGGAGCAGCCCGGCAGCCCACTCACCTTCTCCAAGGCGATGCGGGCGTGTGTCTCGTACACCTCCACGGTGAATTCGGTGCGCACGCCTTGCACCTGGGGCAGCAAGGAGGAGTCAGGCCACAGCAGGGCGGGACGCACCCCCACCCCCAGCCCGTCACCCAGCCGCAGCCCCTCACCGTCAGGTCCTGCCGGATGGACTTCATCTGCTCGCAGGCGAAGGCGTAGTCCTGCTTCTCCTTCCACTGGGACTTGACCATGCACAGGGACTTCTTCAAGACCACCACAGGGCGCACCGTGGACGGGTCGGGGGCGCAGGTGAGACGCAGGTAGTGCTTGGTGATGTCGGGGCAGGTGCCCACGATCTGCAGCTCCTGCCAGTCGGGGTCGCCCCCGCTGCTCTCCAGGCCGCCCACCTGCAGCACCAGGGGCTCGAGGCGCAGGCGGCGGGAATGTCCGTGCTGGAAGCGGGCTGCCCGCTTCTGCTTCTTCAGCTCGCGCTCGGGGTCCTCACCCTCCAGCGCCGCCATCCGCTTGCGCTTGCGCTTGGTGGGAGCTGGATCAGGCCTCCTCCCTCGCTGCGCCCTGCCTCGGCCCCGTTCCAGGTGGGCCCCCCGACCGCCCCGGCCCTTGGGGGGCGGGTTCCTGCGGCCCACAGGTTGACACTCATTCCCTGAGTAGGAACTGTCCGAGTCCGAGTGGGAGTCACTGTGGAAGCAGCAGGAAGGTGAGGCGGGAGCCGGCGCCCCCGCAGGCCCACCCCCGCCTGGAGCTGCACCCACCTGCGGCGGAAGTGGCGGGTCGGGGACCGGGAGGAGGAGCGGGAACGGGATTCTGTGCTGGAGGAGGAGCTGTGGTCCTTCATGAAGACATTGCGGTTGCCGAACTTGGCAAAGTTGCCCCGCGCTCGGCCAGCACCCCCAGCCCCTGGCGTCCCTCGCTGTGACTGGGCACCCCCGCCCCTGGTCGTGCCGCCTGCCCCCCTGGGAGGGTGAAGGCTGCTGGGGGCCTCCCACCGCTTCTTCTTGGGGTTCCCTGCCACAGTGTCCCGAGGCAGCCCGGCCAGAGGCTCCCGGCTCCAGGCGACGGTATAGGCGGAGCCAACCTGGAGCCGGGCCTGCAGCACCGCCTTGAGCAGCTTCTCCGTGCGGCCCTTGTCCTCTTCTGACTTGCAGGCCGCGAAGCAGCGCTGCACATACTCCTTCATGTCCTGCGGCCATTCGTCGGGCTTCCCGGACCGGCTCCCCCTGTGGTTCTGGGCCTTCTCGGGGTTGGGCTGGGGGCCGAAGCCGCTGTGCTGGCCCTCCGAGGCGGAGCTGAAGTTCTGGTTGGTGACAGCGAAGGGCCGCTTCTGAATGTTGAACTTGAGACCACCAGTGCCGGGGGCCGCTGGGGGTGGGGAGCAGCGAAAGCTGGAGTTAGGCCCACCCCAGACCCTGGGAACAGCGGGCCCAGCTCCAGGCAGCCCCCGAGGCCTTGGGACAATCCCTGCACCCCGTGCCCCTGCCGAGGCTGAGGCCCAGCCGCGCCCTGGCTTCCTGCGCTGCCCACTTACGCTTCATGCGGTTCCACAGCTGCTGGCCCTTCTTGGGCTTGGCCGGCTCGGGGTAGCTGTGCTGCGCATAGGCCTGGCCCGAGGTCGGCCCCGCCTGGCTGTGCTGTGTGGCTGGCGTGGCCCCAGGCCAGGGGCCGCTGTTCAGAGCGGGAGCCCCATGCGAGGGGTTGGAGGGTTGAGGGGCTTGAGCTGCTGGCAGCTGCGGTGGAGAGGCCTGGTAGGACCCGCCGTCATCCATGCGGGGACAGGGGTGGGGTGGGGTGGGGGGCACGGGGTAGGCGTAGCTGTACTGCGGGTACCACTGGCAGAAGTGCTGATGCTGCTGCAGGGCCGAGGCTTCTGCCTGAGACACATACCAAGCTGTCCCTCCCCCAGCGACCCCCCGCCAGGGTGCCCAGGCCGTGTGGCCTCCTCACCTGTGAGCTGGCCACAGGCCCGTTGCTGCTGGCCTTGGAGCTGCCGGCAGCGCCCGCCTTGCTGATGCTGGCCAGGGCCTGGCGGGCCTTCTCCCACTCCGGGTTCTCGTGCATGGGCGTCTCCATGCCGTTCTCCCTGCCCGCCCCGGCCACCATGCTGTACTGGGAGGACCAGTCGGTGCCGCGCTGATCAACCACATTGGCCGCCATCTGGACCCTGGGGTGTAAGGGGGGGACCTCGGGAGCCAGACTGCTTCTTCACCGTCTCCGCCGTTCGCCCGGGGACTCGGCAGCTGCGGGCCAAGGCGACACCACCACCTCCGAGGGGAAGCTCGCGAGCTGACTGCGAACAAGCCTTTTTAAAGACTGGCGGGAGCCAGGCGGGCCGGGTAAAGCCGCTTACCTGCATCCACCAATCACAGGCCTGGAGGCCTCGGTGGGTGTGGCCTCCGCGTGGCCCCGCCCCTCGAGCGCGTCGCGCGGGGCCCCAAGGGCGGGGCAGGGCGGGGCGGGGCGCGGGAAGCGGCAGGAAAGGGCCGGGAGCGGGCGGGGCGGGTGTGCTCGTGCCCGCGCGCTCGCGCCTGGGGTGTGGGCGGCGGCGCGCCCGTGCGCGCGCACAGGCGAGGCAGCCCCGGCGGCCGGAGTGGGGTTCGCCTGGAGGGCGGGAGAGTCACCTGAGAGCGACAACGCCCGACACCCGCCCGCCCGCCCGCCGCGACCGGATCGCGCCGGCTTCGCGGGCCCGCTGGCCGCGCACCCTGGGAGGCCCGGGCGGGGAGCGGGCAGAGTCCGCGCCCGGCGCTCGGGACGAGGAGGAGTCGGACCTCGGCTGCCGCCGCTGCCCGCGCCCGGCCGGGTAGGTGAAGCCGGGGGTTGGTTGCCCGCCGGCCCCCGGCGCGTCGGGAGAGGAGAAGCGAAACTTTCCGGCGCTTCTCCCCGCCGTCCCCGGGCCGCCCGCGGCGCCGGGAGGTGTCGTCGTCGCGGGCGGCGGCGGCCGACGCCATGTTGGGGTCGGTGAGAAACGGGGCGCTCCCGGGCTGCTCCCCTCGCGCCGGGGCGGTCCCGCGGCGCCCAGGCCGGTCGCGCAGCCCGCTGGCCGCCGCCGGGGTCCGCGCCGCCGCGGGCGGGTCTGCGGATCCGCGGGGCGGGGGCCCCGAGGTCGGGCTGGAAGTTGCGGGGCGTGAGGACGGGGGTCCCAGCCGTGGCCTCGGCGTCTGAGCGCCCCAACCTCTTTCTGCCCAAAAGTTTTCCGAGTCCGGGCATCAGGGGCGTTGTAACTGGAACAGCGTGTTTTCAGTGACTCGGGGTCGAAAATGGCAGGACTTGCTCCGAGAGCAGCGAGGGCTCTTGCACATTATTTATTTGGGATCTGAAAGTTGTGCGGTCTTCGCCGAACTTGTTTTCCCCTAAAACGTTGCGGAAGGCCGGCGGCTCGCTGTTCCTGTTGCTTCGGGCGCCCTGGTGGGTTCCATGGTGGCAGCGACGCGTGTGCGTGCGCTGGGGCGGAGGAGGAATTGTCCAATTCCTTTTTTGTGTGTGTGTGGTTGCTTTTTTTTTTTTTCTTTCTCTGTAATTCATAGGTTCGCAAAGTGTTGATCAGTTGATCAGTACCTTCTCGTTGTGTTTCGGTGCGTGACGGCAGCGGCTCGTTAAAGGAGGATCCGGGCGGGGGCGCGGGCGGGGAGCCCTGCGGGCGCGCGTGGGTCCCTCGCGGCGAGCGGTCCTGGCCGCGCCGAGTTGCTCTCCTCGTGGGTCCCTGCGAGGCGCGCGCCTGCCGGGGTGTGAGCCTTGACCTCCGCCCGGACTCGGCCGGCTTTCGGGGTCCGCAGGTTCCTGCAGCATTAACGAGGGCGGCTATTTTTATTCTCCTTGGATCCTGACGGCACTCCAGGTGAATGGTATTAAATTACTTATTTGGAAAGCACATGCAAGCGCTTCAAACACACACACACACACACACACACACACACACACACACACACACACACACACACACACAAACTTGGTGTCCTGACCCAGGCATCCAAGCAGATTCATTTACTTGACTGTCCAGGGAAGGAGTAGGAATTGCTCTCTTTGCATGCAGGCGTTTTAGCTGTCAAGTCCTGTGAAATTAACCGCAGGACGCTTAACTACCTGGAATGATAAGCCCCAACACCCGCCTAGAAGAAATTGGCTTCTTAACCCATATAGGTAATAATATAGCTCACGCTCAGATTTGATTGCTGATTTTCTTCTTTCTTTAAAAAAAAAAAAAGTGTCCTTTTTGTTTTGCTTCACTGTCAAGTATATGCCATTGTACAGATTTGTTTTTCTGGATGAGGAATGATCTAGAAAGGAGCTGACTTAACTAACTTTACAAATCTAGTAGCCAAACTGGTTTCTAACCCGGGTCTTAGGGCTCTGAAGCCTTCTCATGTTCCCTGCGGCAGGATTTTGTCGGAGGCACAGCTCATTCCTGCGGGACAGTCTCTGTCCACCTTGTGTCTCGCTGCTCTTTCTGATTGTAACTTAGTTTCTCAGTTTAAGTACATACTTTCCAAAGAGCTGGTTTACGAGGGTTCCTTGTACTGAAAAAGTTCCTCTTAAAAATACTCACTTCAGCCTGTGTGTTCTTTAAAGCCTTTCCCGTCCTGCCCTGCTTAACCACAGCCCCTTTCTCTCCCCAAGAATAATCCGCTTATCACATGACATCCAGTAAATATTACACTGATCTGCATGGCACCTCCCGGGCAGCAGGCTTGGCCAGTCCGATTGGCCTCTCCAACCCCCGAGTGCAGAGAACACAGCACATGCTCAGGGGAGGTTTGAGTGGACGGGTACACACATGTTCCTTGTAAATATGCTGCATGAATGTCTCATTAAATTTCCATTTTCATGGTCATAGTAGCTAAATGTTCCCTGTTCTCCCCCCCCCGCCCCCTTTTTTTTTTTGTGAGAATTTACCTTGGTAACTCAAATTTTGGCCTGGGAACACAGAACTTGAATGTTATGAAATTTCCAAGTAGATGATGGACTGAAATATAAACAACAAAGAAGCCCTGGGTTAACAAAAGGATTATAATCAGAATTTTAAAGTACAGTTGAATTTATTTGCACTGGATGGCAATAGAGTTAATGTCTAAACATTTTGTGTGATGCTTATACTAGAGTAGATCTCAGTTATTTCTACCAGTTATTGTTTTGTTAGAATTGTCTTAGGATTTTGCCTTGCTTAATGGAAAGCATATAAAAAATGCTTTTCTATTGATAAATTTATCTTTGACAACCAGCTTTTTACACCAGCTGTCTGTTTAATAGCAATGTGCATGTTGGCTTAACCGAATAAAATGTGCTTCATAGATATGCTTGCAGAGTACTGTAAGTTGCAAGACCCCTGTATGAGAAGGTATTCTGTAATTCTGTAATGAAATTACTGTAGAATTTGAGGTTAATTCTGTGCCCTACCCATGATAACTTTCTCTCCAGTGAATCCATAAACCACACACTGGTGTTCTCAATTTGGTAGGTCCTGAATAGAAGACATTTGGGTCTAGTGCTAGAGAGAGCAAGTTGCGTGTAGAGTGGATTGGAACAAAAAAGCAAACCTGAATTCTATCGCTGCTCCTTACCAGCTTGTGACTCATGAACAAGTCCCTTCGCTTCTCTGAGCTCTACTGGACTCATTTGTGAAAGGGACACAGAGCTATTTGCCTCACAGTTGTGAGGATTTACTAAGATATTTGTGGAAGTGCCTGGTATATGATATTTAATAAGTTATATTCACAGATTAACAGAGAGATGGTGAATTATTTAGAAGAGTAGATTTTAAAAAATTTAAAAGGAAGGGAACCTTTGGAGATACTTAGTTCAGTTCTCAAACGTGGCTGCACATTAAAATTCCCTGAGTAGCTCCTTAACAATACTGATGCCTGAACTCCACCCTTGAATAAATAAATCAGAATTACTGGGTTTGGGTAAGAAGTAGTTTTACCTTTTTTTTTTCACCCATGATTTTAAAATATTGGGGTTGAGAACCATTGATTTAATTCAGTCTCCTTTCTCCTTATTTTCTTCATTTTGTGGTAGAATAAAGTGCAGAGAGAGGTGAAGTGCCAGCCAAATTCTTATCATTCAGGCTAGAAAAGATGTATTTGTAGTGGAGGGAAGTGAAGAGCATACATGTTAAAGTAGCAGTTACATTTATTTCAGACCTGCACTCTCCATCACATTCTGCATGGATCATTGTGTCATTTAACCCTGTCACCATTCACAACCACCTCTGGTCTTAAGCCCTGTGGCTAGAGATGGTGATTCAAGCCTTCCTACATCGTGTTTGATGAACAAGCTCTTCGTCTTCATTGTCACCTCCAGCCCCTCCCAGGATGTTAGTTTTCTTCCTTCTTTGCACTCCTGAACTCTGTAGTTCACATCCTGCGAACTCACTAGCACTGTGCAGTTCTCTCCTTGACCTGCTGTTTATAACTGGTCAATTCTCAACTCGTAAATGTCACCATTTACTTTTTCTACTTCTGTCCCTGCCTAGCACCTCTGAAAAAAGCCACAGCTGTGGTGATTGTTAAATACTTGTTTTCTAGATGAAAATATATAATTTTAACTTATTCAATTGCCACGAAGAGGCAACCTTTTTTTTTTTTTTTTAAACTAGTAATTTTCATTTGTTCTTTTGGAATTGCCATTTGTATCTTACCCATTTTTCTTTTGGGATATTTTCCTTTTTTCTTATTGATTTATAGGAACCCTTTATATATTTAAAATGTTGACCTTTTGTCATATATTGCAAATGTGTTTATTTTAATTAAAAAAATCTTTATTGTTGAAAGTATTACATGTCTCCCTTTTCCCCCCAGTGACCCCTTCTAGCCTGCTCCAGCCTCCACCTCAGGCCTTCACCACTCTATTGTCTGTGTCCATGGGTTATGTATGTATGCATACGTGTTCTTTGGTTGATCTCTTCCCTCACAGCCATCCTCCTCTGCCTTCCCTCTGAGATTCAGCAGTCTGTTCCATGCTTCTATGTCTTTGGATCTATTTTGTTCACTAGATTTCACATTTGAGTGAGATCATGTGATACTTGTCTTTCTCTGGCTTATTTCGCTTAACGTAATACTCTCCAGGTCCCTCCATGCTGTCTCAAAGGGTGAGAGATCCTTCTTTTTTACTGTTGCATAGTATTCCATGGTATAAATGTACCACAGCTTTTTTTTTTATAAGTTTTTTTTAAATATATATATTTTATTGATTTTTTACAGAGAGGAAGGGAGAGAGATCGAGAGTTAGAAACATCGATGAGAGAGAAACATCGATCAGCTGCCTCCGGACTGGGTATGTACCCACAACCAAGG